CTTGGTCTTCAATTTCTTGTAGGCTGGCAATTGGATGCACCACTCCAATTCCAGAAGATTCGAGCCTTCGGTGACATAGCAAGTTCCTCTTCCATGGACCATCCGTCCTGTAACTCGATCTTTGACCTTGAAATCCGTTAGAAATTTACCGTCGATCTGCATTGGCGTCCCATCTGCCGTTTTTACAGGCATCACGCACGGTTCTAAAGCTGGAGATCCTATCCTCTTCCAGGCTTTACGAGATATCAGCGTTATATCCGCACCCGTGTCCAACTGGAGCTTGAGGGGACATCCTTTGACACGTCAAGGCAGGTGCGGGCGTTCTCGGCGTCGAAGGCGACCACGTTCTTGCATTGTCTTCTTCGACCATAGGGCTGAGTCCCTGTCTTCCGTCGCTTCCTTCGGCCAGTCCTAGCTGATTGTGGACAATCTCTGCTGAAATGCGGACCTCCACATCTGAAACAATCAACCTTTTTCTTCCACACCGCATGAACATCGCGGGTTCCCTCCATATCCGTGTTGTCCATCTTCGAAGCGGTGTAATTCTCGCATTCGCTAACCAAGTCCTCGATTGTTATCGGTGTTTCCGTATGTGCATCCAGTCTGCGAATCATCCTGAGGCGGACGTCTCGCAATGACGGGTCTTGAAGACCGGCCACGAATTGTAGGGTCTTCATTGCAGTGTAGTCGAGCTCCTCGAGTCGAGCGTCCTCATCCATCCGCTTGATTGTGTTGGCGTATTCTCGGAACGGTACATACGTCGGCGTAAGCGGTGGGCAGGTGACGCGGAGGCACTCAAACCTTCTTCTTATCAGAGTCTTCTTGGATGCGAACAGCTTCTGAAGTTTTTCGATAGTTGCGCTAAAATCCAAGTCGTGTGGCTTTGCAGGCAGGACCTCATCTGCATACTTCCGGTATGCTTCTTCGTCCAGCTTCATGAGGACCAAGTCACGCTTCTTGTTGTCTGGCAACAAGGACTCGCTTATGACCGGTCCGTACCTGCTGTACCAGTAGGCAAAGGTATTACCTGTGTCTTCATCGGAGACGAACCTTTGCACATCCTTGCTCAGCTGATCGTATTAATCCTTGCTGGCATCGTGCACGGCTACACTCTGGTTGTTGGCCAGAGTAGCGATTAGCATCCTCATTTGCTCCTGTTGAACTTGCATCTGGATCCGAACTTCTTCTTGTTGAAGCCGCATCTCCTATATCAGACTAGCAAAAAACATCATATTGAAGAATTTGAGGCATACTCTATTTTTAGGTGTATCCATGTCAAGAGGCCCAAATTTTATTGCCAGAGTAGCTGGCTTACCCGGCTCCGCCTGGCCCAGTTAAAACACTGTGATAAAAGCCCCACCCCTGTACAACCTTTTCCTGTGCCCACTTCTAGTGCCAACTCCCTATTCTCGCTGTGTTAGTAATCAGCATGCTCACTTACTCCGTGTGCCAATTCCCAACCCCGTAGCTCGAACTGCGAGAAATCGATAAAATCGGTAAAAATAATAGACAATCTTAAAAACTAATATTGTCGTAATTAGCATGCTCACATATCCCCCCCCTTATTCCAACTCCCGCTTACCTAGGTCAAACTTTGCAACTATCGTACTCGTAACCGACATGCTCACTTACCTCCGTGCCAAATCCCAGCCATTAAGGTCAATCTTGACAAAAAAATCTATAAAATCGATAACGATCGATAAGGAAAGTAGCCTACGACGCCCGCCCCGCTCCGAAGTGCATGTGTGCAAGGTTTGGTCCGGATCAGTTCATAAATGGTATTTTCTATTCGGAACATACTTAAATGCAGACAGACAGACATATAGACATCGAACTTCATATATAAGATATGCACCAAACATATTTCGAACTCACCATGTGATAACTTCAAACTGTTAGTAATCCAATGCATTTTGTTCTGGTGGTACTTTTGGAGTACTAGCATAGCCTCAAACTGGATTTGAGTTGGTGACAGCCGAATAAATCGCACCTCTTCACTGTCTCTCCTCTCTTCTTTAGTGGTGTCCACTTTCCTCACTTATCTCTATGAGACTGTCATATTAAACTGTGTCTAAGATTTTTTTTCTAAAAACAGTCTTTTATAACCAGGGCTCGGCATGAAGTGGCTTTTTCAAATTTTCAAAAACGAAGCCCCCGTGGACCACGAAAATATGACACGACCTATGACACGATCATAAATGGATCAAAGCGACTAACGAAAAATATTGGAACAAGACATGAAACCAGTTTAAACAAAAAGAACTAACGATGTTATATCCTCCGAACTGGCGGCATGCTATGTCTGGCGCGCCCCTTTGCGCGGAGCAGGCTTGCCGCCGCCATGCGAAATATTTGGAGGGGTGTAACTAGGCGAGGAAGAGGAGGTTTAGGGAGATTTGAAAACTCAGTTGTAGGGCTTGATGCAGAACAAAGTTATATTGACATATGAGAAAACTATTTGGAGGAAGAAAAACTTATGACTTTTCTTTCCACACCCACCTCAAGTGGCTGTCCAGGTGGCTGGAGAGCCACTTAAATCTGAAAAAGGTTTCCCGCGCCTTCAATTAATCGTTAGTTTTTCGTACTTAGTCCTAACTCCCTATTGCCCATCTATATATCAATTTTGGTGTCATTTCATTTTCTCTTCACTGTAAGACAAGTTTTAATTATTTCGGACAGGTTTGAATTTGCGCGCTTAACCGGCAAACCTGTTGAAACAGAAATTTTTCGGTTATTGCAGGAATGGGATCTGTAAGGCAGGAATGACAATTTGCGTTCTTCATAGAAGATGAAAAGTGACATAAAGGGAGAAGGCGATTGTGTGTATATGTGTATGTGTATGTCAGTGGCGGTCCCAGGATTTCCGTCGGGGGGGGGGGGGGGGTGGAAAAAATTTTTTCCAAATGAAGGTGAGTGGCATTAGCCACGCACTCCGAAAATTTTTTTCGGGGTGCTCCGCTTCGAAAATGTTTTTGGTATGCTTCCTAAGATTTTCGCGGGCTCAGAACCCCGAAATTTTAGAAAAAGGGGGCGTGACGTCAGCCACGCCCTCAAGAAAATTTTTTTATAAGGCTTAAATGAATTTTTAGAAAATTCTAAAAAATATTTTAATTATTTACAGGTGCAAACAAGTCATTTGCACAATTTTATAACCCATATAAGTAACTATCAAAAATCCCCCCCCCGCCTCCCCCCTCGGTACGACACCAATATGTGTGTATGTGTGTGTGGAGGGGGGGGGGGGCGGGGCTGGAGTTTCCGCTTAAACAATACCCCAAAACGATATCCAGCATGTCCCGTAAGCCGCCTGTGCCGAGCTCTGCTTATAACTTCCTCACCATCAATATTGCGATGTTTACTACGTAGCTTATTTCCCTTATCAAAACTCTTCAGCAGCAGTTTGGCGCGATTGTCTATTCTGATTACTTATGATCGTTACTTGTTTTGGTTCTCGATAGAGTAATTAGTTTCCGGAACGACTTCAAAATTTCGACTACGCAATACGTGCTTTTGTATAACTGTAGCCATTGCAATGAAGACTTTCCAGCTTAAGGATTATCCAGAAAATTTTTTTTTCGAAAACTCCAGTTTGAGGCCCGAATGCACGTAAATCCGCAATGGGGAGGCAAGAGGATCCGAGAGGTGACGCGTCATATTTTGCAAATACAGATAACTGTGATCTGCTTTTTCTGCCTGTGTTATGAGCTTATATCCTGATACTTGAGTATAATGGACGGCAGAACATTGTCACACAAGCTAGATTCTATATGTTTCGTATGTTCCCCTAAGAATCCCCGAGGGATCATCTCGGGCCTTCAAAGTCTTTATCTTCCCATGAGCGCGATGAAAATGCGGTAAAATTGTACCAAGAATGTGTACATAGTCTCTTATCTTTGAAGGCATAAAACACTAAGATGGTCAAAGATTCGGAGAAAACGATCTAAATCATGAAAAATTGGAAGAAACACTTCCAAAAATTATAAAAAAAACTTCTGAGAAGTTGGTTACTAATTCCACTGCAGAATTGAAGCTCACTCGCCAAGTGGGTATGCTTGAAATGAATGAATGTAGCCACTGCTCTCGAAAATTGCCATAAACTGCTCGAAAAAGCTTTTCCTTTGAACCTCTTCAGCGCAATGAACACTTCCACTTGTACATCTAATAGATTAATCTGCGTATTTGCAAAAAATAGCTGCATAAATAACTGTTTATTTCATAAATACAAACAAAATGATTGAACCACCACAGGAAGAAATATCACATCGGATCAAGAAATTGGATCATAGGTCCTACAAGTCTTTTTTTGTATTCGTAGCAGTTTTATACAGGTAAAGCACTTGGATGGAATAGTTAAAGAATTAGAAAATCAATAGACATCAAAACCAATTCGAAGTAACAATTATCGATTGAAAGAGCACGTGTAGAAATAAATCAATAATTGATTGAGTGCACAGTGAAGTCAGAAGAGAAACCGATAATGCTAGCGCGTCTAGGAGAGAAAGCAATAGTAGTGATTTCGTTCTAATTGGCAGTATTTGAAGTCAGATCACAGAGAGATGAATGATTTAGACGGCTAGCGAAAATTTAGAGAGCTTTTGTCATTATGTATGTCGGCCTTATTTCATAAAATGCACTTTATTCCCCAGAAAATATCTCATTTCACGACAAGAAATGACGCAGGTTTGAAAAAAGTCGCAAAAAAAAGAGAAAATTTATGATATAAGTTCTTTCTATCAAAGTGTATCCCACATGACCATTTTGTTTCTTTCTCGCTATATATGAGTCATCAACGCAGGAAAGGCGCGACTTGGACGCTCGTCGCACTTGCGCGACTCAAAGGCGTCAAGACCGCATCGCTGCAGTAGACGCAAATGTTGCGTCCTCTGCATCGGCAACTCAACCACTTTTGCAGCTGTTTTGTCTTCCATTAAGCCACTTCTTGTCGTGATAATGATAGCTATACTAAATATTGCACTATTTGAAGAAATCTTGAGTTGTGCTTAGGTTTCAGAGACTTTTGCTGAGTTTGTAGGAGTCTCTGGTACGGGTTTTAGCACAGTAGAAGGTGAAGTTACACGAATTTCTTCATTCAATGCTGTAGGACTTTCTGGATCTTCAAATGCTTCCGAACCAGCGGAATCGATGCCGGAATCGAATGGAGAGTCCTGCGATAAAGTAAATGAACTTTTGAAGACAAAAATAGCATGAATACGTAATAGGCAATGATTTCAGTCACATTTTTTACATAACGTAACAAGTATTTTCCTCTGAATATTAGAGATGATAAATTTAATGAAAACCGATTTATGTAAAGGTCAATGAATGGATCTTGCCTAGGCGGGAAAGAGCACAAAACCTGAAATTGCGCTCTATGGCAATTATTCCACGCCCAAGTATTGTCAACACCGCCACCGACCAAACTTTCATATTTACTAGACTATACGTGACTGTCTGCACTCACCTGCAGAGCATCTTTCGGAACATCCACGAACTGATAAACAAGGCGCTGACCATCGACTTTTTGCAGGATTCCTCGTTGATAATAATACCTAAAAAGGAAAAAACGCCATTATGGGCTTATTAGCTGAACCAGAATGTATTTGACCTACCTCAAAGCTCTTCCCATTGTCTCATAGTTCATCCCTGGTTTGTTCTTGTGCATTCCCCAAAGTCTTGAAACGGCTTTTGAATCGACCAATTTGAAAACACCCTAAATAATACAGATGTGGGTGTTTACGAAGTACAGAAGCTAATTTCACATGCTAAAATTTCTATCTGAAAACAGTCGTCTCAAAATATGTATCGTCCAGTCATTTGTAATTTAAAGTATGTGCTACACACCATGCGCACTGAATGACGACTTGTAAATCCAAAACTTGCTCATTTTCAGCAATTCCACCTTAATTCCTTGTCTTTTTTGATTTGTTTGCTGCGTATCAATTAGTGGTACACTATACAGTTCGATGAGCAAAAGTGCCGTATGTTTCCGAGCGCAATGTGCACACTCAGAAATCAAGTTACAAGTGGCCGTGCATGCGTCTGAAGGTTGAAAGTTACTGCTTGCACTATAAGAACAGCGCCATTTCAATAGAATATTTAACGAAATTTTAAAATTGAGTCAATCGATAAATCGGCTTGGCTTTGTAAGCAGATGCAATCACAGTATAGTGCAGCTACGGTCGCAGCAACATTTGCGCGTCAAAACTGTTACTGAAGGAACATTTTTAGATTTTGCGTCCTACAGTCACTTTTCATGCGCAAGTGCTGTTGGCAAGAACACGGTTAAACTCTCTACTTAAAGGCAGTGTCCGGGCAAAAACTTGATTTCTAAAAATTTCACTTACCGGAGATTATCCGCAACGCTGAATCCGAAAATCCACATTGGAAAGCGCGAAAACGGCGAGAACATACGTTTTCCAAAGGCTCACTACGAAATTTGACGGTCCCCACCAAGGCAGAGACGCAGAGTCGCTACGGGACCCTACATTTTAACTGTGGCGGCATGCGTATGCCGCACAGCAAGAATTCGGACAGCTCGGAGGGCCTCGCTCCAACGCGTAAATTTCCCCACTTTCCGGTCGTTTTTCTTGCTTTAGGTCGAGCGTTATGACGTCACACTTGCGCGATGTTGTGTCTGAGGGGGCCCACTCTCGCATGACACTAAAATCCCAAAACCCCCATCTTGCCCGGACACTAATTTGAACCACGGGCATTTATGTCCCAGGCCTGGATTACGGTAACGGTAATTTTGGGCGGTCAAGTGTACCATTTGCACTGGAATGGCGGCTGAAAGGCGGGGATTCGTGACCTAGTTAAGGCTGGGAAATGATCAAAGAGGACGCGGGAGAAAGAGAGCAGACGAGCCTTAATTCGGTCGTGAAGCCCTGCCTTCCAGCCGCCAATCCATTTGAATCAAAGTTTACCTCTACGTATATTATATCTACGAAAACGATTTTTTTATTCAAAGTGATACTCCCTACCTTCGACTGATCGATCCATTTTATGAATTTCGGACAGTATTCTTTATCTTGCAGTAAACGCAGTAAGAATTCCCACAAGTAGGTAACTTGTCCAGAAACTAAACACATTGATATTTATGTCTATCACTGATATCTTGAAGAGAACGAACTTCCAAAATATTATTTTTGATATTTTTGACCCACCTTCTTTGCTTCTTCTCCGCTGTGCTAGCAAATGTGATGGTGGCGGTACTGGTTCACTATATCTTCGTGATTCCAACATATATGGTACGGAAAAGAAAGCAGATTTAGCTGTGACCGAAGATGGAAGATTTTCTTTTCGAAACATATTGCACGGTGTGTTGGCAGTAGCTCCAACAAGTGGTTGTGGAGGCAAGCCGCATACTGAAATTTTGGATTTTAGAAAAAGAACATTGAAACTGAAATTTCTACTCAACAGAATTAGAGCTTTGGCAATCCAACTTTTGAGACACGATTGCCAAAAAATGTCAATTCTGCGGATTTACCATAAACTCGAATGTAATCGGTTGTTCAGGTTTTGTACGGTGATTTTCGGTGACCGAAACTTTAGAAAAACTCAAAGATCGACAAACGGCTCAATAATTTTTCGAATCCGATTTATATTTTTTTTCGAGAGCTGCATTTTCTCTCTAATCTATGCAATCTTTGCGCGATGTTATCGTCATGACTCCATAAGCAGATTAGCAGTAGCCAAATTTTCTTGAATTTTTGAAAGTTACATTTTAATATTTGGAAAGAGAGTGGAAGCCGTTACGTAGAGCCAAGCTTTGGTTACACTAACAATAAGCTTGTTACAGACTACATAGAAAAATGTTTCCAAAGTCTGCAATAGGTGTTCAACTGGGAAAAAACCCCCGCTTTTTGAGCACGTGTAGGGCATGGGTGTAATTAAAATTCAAAAGATGTCAATTATTTTAGAAAAATAGTGTTCACTAACAATCAAGCTTCAACTCACAAAAATTATAAGCTTTTTTATTTTTACTGCAGTTGTAGATCTCATAACTTCAAAGATTTCTACAAAATTTTTTTTGAAGATCCAAATAACAGCTCAGAATAATCTCAAAGGTACTACTGTGTGAGATAGATTTGCTCTATTTGAACCATATAAATTCTCTTAAAATCTCTGGATCAAATTTTTCAGAATTAGCCTAACTTTAAGCGAATAGAAATGACGAGTGAAGAATTCTTGACGTAATAAAGCGTTCAGAATCATGATTCGAAACTGTAAGTATAAGAAAGAGGAGGAAAAGCCGCGTCAATAGCTTGTTTGATTATATTGAGGTCTTTGAACGAATTTTATAGTTGTCAAAAAGCCGACAAAAACTTTTTGACAACATGATTTGTATCCAATATTGACTTTTGCTCTGATTCTTCTATTCTTCAAAAATAAAAAAAATTGAAAAAACAAAAATTATTACCCGTGCTCAATAGCGATTGTGGCGGTTGTAAAGCTGTTGGAGCTATAGGAATAGGTGTTGGTAGATCACCCGTAGGCGGTGGCCAAGCTAACAACGGGGATGACAACCATGGAGTCATGAGGCGATTGTCTGAAAAAAATCACATTTTGATAGGCAACACATTTTTTTCGAGTCTTGGATCGAAGTTGGATATTTAAAGAAAGGCATGAGCAAAAGAGAATGCAAATTCTAGAACGTTTAGAATGTGTACTTTTTTCGGCCCAGCAAAACTCTTATGTTAGGTCCGAATAAATTTTGTGACACTTTTTTCACTTTCCTCTAAGAAACTTCAGGAACTTTAGCAAATAATGTTTGGCACATATAAGCAATGAACGAAGGACTATCCATTGGCATCACCTCCACTTTTAAAAATACACATAACAGTAAAAATAAAGGAAATTTCGTAACGGCCTTTAAACCTCCATTTTTTTCTTTTTCCTTTCGAATTCGCTCTCATTTTTTATGCTCTCAAATTTTTTGTGGATTTTTGGAGACTTCAGTACTAATAAGAAAGCAGTTGAAGTCTAGGCTCTCAAGTAGCGGAATTTGGAAATTTGCCAACAACAACCCAGAATTTCATGTGTGGCATTATAATATTCAAGAATATACAACCATCAACTCATATTGAAGTAAAATTCTTTTGGAAGAACTAGGACGTTCTTTTCCTTCAAGTTTAGCAAAACTTGTGATACGATCTAATACTATACATAGGCTGATATATAAGCCTTGTACTGTAAAAAAGTCGTTGGATGTTCAAATGATTTCGAAGCTTATCATTGTAAAATGTATCAAAAGTTGCATTTCATTAAAAATACTACGTCTCTTTAGCTTCAAAGCAAAAAGCTGAAGTCAAAAAAACCAAATCACCCCTAAATTAGTAAGCATTTCATAAAACCAAAAATAAAATCAAGATAGGGTTCTAGTAGAGTTCCAGTAATTTTAGCAAGAGAAATTGAGAAAAAAACCATTTTTGAGTGTTTTCCTTCATCAGCTTGTAACACTGCGATGCTTTATATACTTTTGAAAAGCCCAGAACTTTCTCTTAATTTCTTATTGAAGTGGAAGATTTCACTGAAGCTGGGAATATTTATGATTGTTCCAAATTCTTGCTGTTAGACTTATGTAGTACCGACTTAGTAAATTAAGTTACAAAAATTTTTTCGCAATGAACTCTAATATGATCTCAATACCAGCTGTGATGCTGAGTGAAAATACAATTATAAAAGCGATGCTTTAAATAAAATAATATGCTACTTATTGAAGATTATGTAAAGGTTTACATTTGAAGATTCTACACGCAAAAAGCCAAAAATTTCGATTTCCCAAATGGTCGTAAAAAACTCTGCTTGATATTCTTTCAGAATTGTAAGTAATTTCCGGGAACTTCTTCCAACGTCCTTTCTCACTTCCTCTCACTCTCAGACAATCGTAAATGACTTCCGGGGAAAACTGAACTTCTGAAACTTCCGGGGCGGACGCTCCTATTGGCCATGTGGGTGGGCCGCGACCTACTTGGCCTCGCCCTACCTGGCAGCACTAATAGAAATGTCACCCCGGAAGTTCTAGAACTCCAGTTTTCTACGGAAGTCATTTGCGATTGTCTGTGCTGGGCTAGAATTGAATTCTGAGTTACTGTGGAACAGTGTAGATCAAAATTTGCGAGAAAAAACTTCTTGTGAAAAATTTGTTGATATTAGGTTATTATTATATTACATGATATTATATTTGTATTGAGTTTATATGCCCTAATTCCGTAATTGAATTTTTTGGATCCATACATCCTTCAGTCAAAAATGATAGCTGTCCTTAGTGATATACAATGATATATTTTCAAAAATATATCTTTTTCTTTTGATAGTCCGTATTAGATTTTTTGCCTTCCTCCCTTTCTCATGATAGTGACATTTTGTAAATTTAAATTTCACTTTCTGCATTGTAACTCTAGGGCAAGTTTGAAACACTCTAGCTGAGAAACTTTATTCTTGGAAAAACTTTTGATATGTGCTTTTATACATAATCCAAAACGTGCAGAAGCAAAAAATGCATAGGTACATAAATGTGATTTCACATACGATTGAAGAAAACATCACGAAGCAGGCCGTTGCATTCGCTTAAAAAGTTGTTTGGCCAACGGAACCTCTTTTTTTGTTGCTCGAAACCACGTAGCACGAGAATAATCGCACAGCTTGCGAATGTAACAAAAACACTTTGAGCATATAATGAAGATATTTGTAGCATAAAAAATCTTGAAACTCCTTCTAAACGGTAGAATCAGATTCTAAAGAAATTAATACAAAGTGCAAAATGGAAGTCTGCGGAAAAATTCAAAAGTAGCTTTTATTACCACACAAATGACAAAGTTTCCTCACAACTCCCTTTTTCAAAAAAAAAATAATATTTCATCATTGAGGAACTCTTGTACCCACACAATCATGTAACCTGTTATTCAACTTGCTTTGCTCCTCGAAGGCGGGGCTTTGTGACCTAATTGAGGCCGCTTGCGCCCGCGACGAGTCTGCGTCTCTCTCGCGCGCGTGCTCTTTGATTATTATCTAGCCTCAATTAAGTCACGAAGCCCCGCCTTCCAAAAGCCAAGCCAGTTGAATGAAAGGGTACTCCTCCCCAGGTCCATTAACCTTTGGAGTTTTTATATTAGGTTGGCACATAAGTAATGCAAGATTTTATACAACTTTTGTCTTTTTGAACTAAAGCATTCGTTTTCTGACTAACTAAGGACTATGATGTAAACACTGGCAACATTTTTGCCGAATTTTGCCACCTTATGTAAGGGGTTACTGTAGGTTTACGGTATAATGGGAAACTTTAGATTGCAGCGGATTTTGCTCAAACTTAGAAGGGTTATTTAACATGCTGATCACAAAAGTGAGACCCGTTTTGCATGGAAAGGCCTTTTCTCGAGGTCAAGAATTGAATTTTATCTTTGCAGCAAGTGATTACGATATTCGTGTTTTCACCGTATTGGATTACCCTACTGCGCGATGTTTTAGCGAACTCTTGAGGTTTGGCAGCTTAGTTATTGACAGATTGCCCTCCAAATGAAGTAGTTGACTGGTTCTACTTCTCAAAGGCGCCCTAACGTGATTTATTTCAAAATTCACTTCTTTTTTGCTGATTCTAATCTATCAGCTTCTAGCTACGTGCTGCTTATAATCCCTTTTTGATATGCTTGAGGCTTTTTACAGCTTCGTGTTTGCCAAAAAAACCCGTGAAACCTCGAATTTGGGTTTTCAATGTTTGAATTTCTTCTACTATATTATCAAAAATCAAACGGTTTGCAGTGACTTGCATCTTACCTCACACTCTACATAATGCCAGAGAATGAGAGCGGCATTTCGTGAGAAAAAAGTTATGGAAAAGTTGCAAAATTTATGTGTCAATCTAAAGGGCCGGGTATACTTCACGCGATTTCAGTCGCGATGCGATTTGGCAAATTAGAAGTTTACAGATACAACACTAGCAAGACATGCATAGTGTGCATAACTTACGTGGACTGATAAAATGCCTTATCTTGTGGATTAAAAAGTATTTGCAGTGAGTTATGGACAGTTGGAATATTGCCATCGCGTAAGACTGATGTCGCGTGAAGTATGCCTGGCCCTTAATACGTTGCCACAGATACAGTAGGAAGAGATGTGAGATTAGTCTGGCACCGTGTCTAAGTGCGCTTTTGGCTGTAATTCAGATGAGATGAGCTGATCCGCCATTCCGCGGTAAGCTGGTCCTTCGTAGAACCCTGACAGTATGTACTGAATCGGACTAAAGACAAAATTCATTTCCCTTGCGTTAGCCCTTGAGTCATACGAGAAACCTCTTGCTCCACGAGACCTGTGTGTCTCTGTGTGTGTGGTGTGTGTGCGGGAGCGAGAAAAACATCAGCTGAGGGTATCGGTGTGTGCGGGAGGCGAAGAGGAATGCCGGTGCAGTTTCTCCCTGACGAAAACACCTTGCGGTGAACGAACTGAGTGTGACCGGTTCCACGACCGGAAATACGCACTACCGCCATTCCGTTCCAGAAACAGCCTGGTACCAGAGCACAAGCTGAAGGAGAGACGAATGAACTGTGTTGGGTGAGATGAGTCATCGGCGGAAGTACCGGAAGGGATTTGAGACGCTTGAAGCAGGTGCGGTAAAAATAGCTCCAGGGTGAATTCAGGAAGCACTTGAGCTGGTCAGAGGCAAAAAGGCGCAGAGAAAGAGGAAGGTTTTTTTTAGGTTTGCAGGATTTGCACCCGATACCTATGGATGTCTTTTTTAGATCTTGCTCGAACTATAAAATCGTCTCCGCTTATGAAATTTATTCGATATCAGGGAAAAAAGGTTGGCCTAGAGATTCAAAACCTACCTATTACATCTCAATAATCGCGCTTTTTCTACCGGAGTGGGCTCATACCGTATATCTACCGTACTAGTAACACCGCTACTACTGCTACATGTGACTGCCTCCTTCCTACGCGCAAGATATAATGCAAATCTTTCTCCTTAAGCTTCCTAGAACAAATTTAGATAAACTTCCATGGCAGTTTTCCACATCCTTCTCATATTGTCAGAGCCTGATTTTGTGCCAAATTTATGGCACAGCGTTTGTCTACCGTGTCTTTGACATCACACAACATCAGAACAAGGGACAGTGGATATTGTGTAAGTGAAATGTGATAACGAAGACAGAAGAAAGGTCTAAAAATTGCTTGTGCTCATTTTTGAGGAGAATTTCCATATGTAGCGGGTACTGAGCAATTATAATGCCAAAATTTCTATACCCCTCAAAAGGGTTGGGGAAAGAAAGCGGAAAAAGGGAGAGGGGAAAAGTTTAAAAGTTGCACTCTTCAGGTTTTCGAATTGGGAAATGGATGCACAACGCCACAACTTATCATTTTGAGTTTTTCTAAACTCATTTTGAGAACGAAGATGAGCTGAGTGATGGGACTCATGGTCCTGGAGTGAGGCTAGAATTAGAACTCGCTTTACCATCTTTCCATTTCTTCTTGAAAAAAAAAACAACGAATGCATATTATAACCTGGTTGCAATAAATCCCCAGGAAAACAGACGTTTTATTTTTTCTAATGTGTGG